TCTGAAATGTATGGAAGGGGTTGGGATTTGAGGGTTTGTACTCATTTTCAGTTTTGATCAAGGCATCAGTTGGTTGCAAGTAATTAATTAAATTACTCATATGGCGTCTTATTTTAAATAGATATCTAGGCTTGAAGACGGACCCATTAGGAAACAGCAAGAATAAAAGCACCTATCCCTGACTTGGAAAGGGATGGGGGAGGGAGTCTGGCCTGGTATACTGAAGATGTTCTCCCTAGGAACACTCTCCTTGAGTCAGTGAGGTTGGGGGAGAAATAGAAGTCCGGTATCCGTCCCTTCAAGCAGGTTAGTTTTTACCCAGTGCAGCACACCTGAAATCCCTGTAGTGTCCTCTTTTGAGATGCGGATGTTAACGATTCCTGCAACAAAGAAAACTTTTGCTGTGATTGCTTGGTGTGTGCGTGCCTTCTGCTTTGTGCAATAATAAACAAGGGCGGGGTACCTATTTCTTTTTTATAATAGCATCTGCTTGAATGAATAATGGTGGCGGCTCTGAGTGGAGCAGCCTCTGGTTCAGGAAGAGAGCCCCAACCTTCGTATTTAAACAAGAAAACAGGAGACAGGCAAGGTTAATGTCCAACACGCCAAAGCCCAGCAATGTGCTATGGAGTCACTTTGAGAGTCAGTAGGATTGATGATCCTTGCACCCTCTTTGCAAAACAAGCCCGAGCTCTGTAATCGCCTTTCTCGCTTTGATGAAATGGCTGTGTAAATAGGATTACATGGAATAATTCCATTGAAAACTAGAAAGAGGTAGATCTAGCCTGAAACACTGTGGTGGTGGTGCAAGTGACTCAGTGCTGCCGACCAGAGATATTTGAGACAACTTAAGTATTTTAGAAATGTGACCTGTTTGGACCAAGTTAAAGTGCAGGCCCTTTTGGGGGGAACTTGCTGCTGATAAAGGGTTTGTAGGCAAAAAAGAGGGCAGTACACACATTGAATGAAGGCATTCATTGTCTCTAATGACCTTCAAGGTTTCCTTTAAAGGATACTTCTAGCAATTCACATTCTTGTCCCTGAAAAAGACGACACTGGAAATAGCACAAAATCAATAAAATAATCCATGGCGATGAAGGAGGGGATTAGATTCTCTTTCCTATTGTCACCTCTCCTAATCCAAGAGTTGCAAAGGAATTTTCTGCACAGCTCTGCATGTGTAAGAGAACTGGACACTAAGAAAGATTCAGTTTTCTTTTTCCTTTTAAATTTGGTGTTATCTTTGCCTGGGAGGAAAATATTTTTATTAAATAGTCTACTATAAATATGGGATCAATACCAACTTCCCCTATAATCCCCTTGTTTGATATGCTCTCATTACCCAATAAGTTGAAAAAGAATTTAATGATAATCTCTGAAAGTACTTATCTAAATTATATAGCTTTGCAAGAATCATGGGGACACCAGGCATTTTGAGCCTTCAATCAAGCTAAATAAGTGTGAAAATTCCATCAGCAGCCACTTGGGGCTTGATGGACTTCTCTTTGATTTACTTAATACCAGTGATATACTTCTGTATTTGGAAAATAAGTACACACAGCAGTCATGCTGAGCAATCGGGACAAGAAATTATGTCTTAAGTCTGTAATGAAGAATGTGGTTTGTATTTTTGAGGTTTGTCTTTGTGTGTGTGTTTTCCATATTGCATGTGTCTAAAGAAAATTGTGATTCTGCTTTAGAACAAGTATCACTCTCTATAAGTAACTACTTTAAAAAACACGGGACTCTAATATGTTACATTGCAATTGAGAGGCAGCCAGTGGTATGGTCAATGTTTGTGTTCATGCCTGTTATGCTTAAGTTTTAGTTTTTCTACAGGTTTCCATAGCTGTTGTGAGTGCTGTCAATGTCAGAACTAGGGAGACAAGAAAAATCTACCTTGAAAACAATGTAGAAAGGTCTATTTTAGGAATACTGAAGCTCTCGGAAGTAACAGATAGAATTTTAGCTTTTACTATACTAGAAAAATACCCTCTTCTTTTGCCTATGAAATATTTGTCATGTGGGTGACAATGGCAGCTACAATATAGAAAAATTAACATATTTGTGAAAAGAGCATTTTAAAATCCCGTCTTTGCAGTCACTCAGTTTGCAGTGTGTGCTTCCAATAGTCCTAATTTATGTAGCTTTTAATTGATACATTCTGCCAAGGCTTTGAGACTCAAGTGCTAAGTCGATTACATTTAACATAAAACAGGGAAAATAACCATATGGAAATCTGAAAGTCAGTGCCAAACCAATTAAAATTGCTAAATTTTATTTATGTCTAACTGCTGATGGGAAGATAGCAAATTGTGAGTGAGCGTTTGTTCTTTAATGACAGGTGATTGAAATCTTAGCGCCTCCTTAAGTAACATTAAAAATAAAATCCCTGCCAAAATAGCCTGGGAAGTTTCTTTCATGTTCCTTTTCCTCTCTCTCCCTGTTGGTGGAGAACCTAAAATATGGTAGAGGGAGGACTCTAGGCTCTAGCCTGTGAAGACTTAGGCTCCAATTCCTGTTTTACCACTTGGTAGACAAATGACCTTAGGCAAAAGGCATCTTGGGATTTCCGTTTTGTAATCTGTATGATGCTGGTAAAATGGTTATAAAGATGTGTCTCAGATGGTGGCTAAAAGGACTAAAGGACTGTTATAGATAACAGTCCTCATATCTGCATAGCAGCCCACTGTCACTGCAGTCTGAAATACATTCCTGAGAAGGGAATTGCCTTCCTGTCACCTTAAAAGCCAGAGGAAAATGACCTCTAAGGATGAGGCTGAGTGCTGGCCTGTCTAAATCTGAGTCCTTTAATTCAGTGCCTGGCCTCCATTATAAGCTGACATCTGATTATCAGCTGTCCTTAGCACAGGCCAAACTAGGAATGCCCAGAAGCTAGGGTGGTGTGTGGACCTGCTGATGGGAAGCTCTCTCAAGTTTTCTTTCAGGCTGAAAGTGAGAGAACTAGGGTGGAAAACAAGTGGGGGGGGCATTCCTTTAATTTCTCTCCAGTTTGTATATTAGCACCAAGTTCATCTTCTATGGCTTTGAGGGTCTGTCTTCCTTAAGACTAAGAACTGCTCAGCTTCCTATCACGCTGTTGCCATTGCTCTTTTCAGTGAGGATACACATTCATTCATTTCTTCTTTGTTGCCTCGACCAGGCAATGACTAGTGATACCCCCTTTATGCACTTTTGGGGACCCCCACCCTCATCTGTAAAACAGGGTAAGGCATTAGGATATAAATCTCTGGGTAGAGATCTGTTATCTGTTCAGGAACATGAATCACCAGCAGCTGCAGGAATTCGGCATTTGCTTAGTCACCTATGTGTGGAGAGAGACCATGGGGACCAGATACCTGTGCAGTGCTTGGTGCTGGGGGCTCTTATGTGCATACAGTCTCTGTTTCATGGGAACCATTGACTCCAGCCCTGCTGATTTATAGATGCGGTAGATGTTTGCCTTTTGACTTAATTATGGGCATACTGAAAACTGTTTACAGGGGCTAGGACTGCCATTATCATTATCTCTCCCTACCTATTTCTGTCTGTCCAGAAAAAAAAAAGAAGGTAGGTGCTTTTCATATAATTAGGCCTCCTAGTTCTCTCTCTCTGCCTCTGTCTCTGTCTCTCTCTCTCTCTCTGTCTCTCTGTCTCTCTCTCTCTCCCTTTTCCCCAAAGCATGATATCTGTCATCCAAGGAAAGATTACCTGTGCCGCCTGTGTCCTTTGGCTGTATTTTACTGGTTGTTTCTAGGCTGACACACTGGCTTGACTATTAGGGGACAGTGTTCTTTTCTTTCTGAATTTATTTATTTATATTTCATGTGGATTGGTGTTTTGCTTGCATGTATGTCTGTGTGAGGGTATCAGATCCCCTAGACAGTTCTAGGGGCTACAGACAGTTATGAGCTGCCATGTGGATGCTGGGAATTGAACCTGGGTGCTTTGGAAGAGCAGCCAGTGCTCTTCCGC